ATAAACGGATGTGATCTATTCATATAAACCCTGATATAAGTCACTGATTTAACAAAAAATAATTATTTTGCTTATTGCAGCTGCTTCAAACCCAGCGTGACTCACAGTCCCCAGCAGTGTTAAGACATTAGTCATCTGCAGACACTTTAGTTAACTCTTTTAACAGTTAATTAGACAATAATTAATAGTTATTATTGCCGTGAAGCAGTATATCAGTTTGTTACAGTAGGTGATGGCTGCTCTATGTAATAGTATAGCATAATTCACGGCAGCATGTGTGATCATACTAGGCAGAATGTTTTTATATAATTTCTAATTTCAATTTCGATGCTACACTATTCAAAACACTCTGGCAATTAGTAGTCATTAAGTACACGATATCCCTGACAGAGGAACACGATGCTTTTGCTTTCCCTCGTGATCATTTTTTCCTTCACTTTGTAGAAGCGTGTATTTACTGTATTTAACTTTTCTAAGCATAATCTAATCAACATTAAAATAAAGTAAGAATGAATGTTTTGTTGCTTATAAAGATCTCTCCGTCTAATTCCTTCTTGTACATTTAAAAGAAAGAAGGTTGCGACATGGGGGTGGTGGTGGGGAAGGGATTTGAATTCACCTGTAACGCCATTGTCACAAAGGGGAGGGGGGGAAGGCACCTTGAATTTGAATTTTGAGGAAAAAGGGGGGAGGTCTCAGAAACCGTAAAAGATGTCCACATGCCCACGTTTAGATTACGTTCGTGTTGAAAATGATCTTTAAGCATATACGGTTTATCATATGCTTACCTTTCCATTCGTTTTTTTCCTCTTCGTCATAATTTAAGCCTATGAATGTACGTCCCAGCGTGTCTCGAACGCCCTCATATCGCAGAGACAAAGAAGCAGGTTTTGAAATGAAGTGGGCTGGATCTGCACTTCGAAGCGCGTATCCAATTCTGCAACGATGTGTAGATATATGATCTAAATGAACCTCAGACTGGTGTGATTATTGATACCATCTGGATACCAATTGAGAAAGTCATGTGTAAAATTTCGCGAAAATATATATGGTAAGTCAGACTCATCAATGTAAACTAGCTGATTGCTTGTGATTAAGTATCTATTCATCATTCGTAATAGTGTCACTCTGTTTGCGGCTAAAGTACAAGCAATTTTTAAGTGACAGCTAACACAATTAAATAAATAAAGTCCTTATTCCATGAAGGACTAGAACACTTACATTAACAAGATCCCGAAGAGAACGAGCCCGAGAAAATGCCGTAGAGAGACGTTGCACATTGCAGAAGCGACACCTTGCGACCTCCGCCAGCTTTGACACAAGACTTCCAACGTCAGGTGTGGCGCTTACGGGTAATTAATGCAAGTTGAACACACACATATACCTTATTCAACTGTTTGCTCGCCTGCCTTCGAAAATCAAATTATCTCCGCGTTGGGTTAGTTTGATTCACCAAAATTAAATTCGTAAAAAGGAAAATACGCCGAGAATTTTAAGATTTACAAAATGCATGTAGCACGCACGCACACGTACACGGACAAACACACAAACAAACACGCTAAGCAGACCAGTGTTTTTTCTTTTCTTTTTTTTTACGATTTTTCCCATTGTCGGAATTTTTGTGAATTATTGTCACCACATCGAGAGGTTGCATTTAATCTTTTAATCGTTGCTTCTCTATCATTACTAGTATATTACATGAGTTATTTGACTCCTATTGTTATAGAAGTTTGAAGTATATGATAACGACGATGGTGATGATGGTGATGATGGTGATGATGATAATGATGATGAGAAGGAGGATGGTGGTGGTGGTGTTGATGTAATATTATGGTGGTGGTGGTGCTGACGGTGGTGGTGATTATGACAATGATAATAATGATAGCGATGATAGTAATTTAAAAGATAATATAGACAGTGATGATTATAATGATATCAGCATTAATAATAACAATGATAATAGTAATGATAAAATAATTACAGTGATAATGAATAGAGTTATAGTAAAAAAAAAAAAAAATTGTAGCTACTACTGATAAAGATAAAGATGATAATGAGATGGGTCGAGTGAGGAAGAGAGGGGGGGGGGGGAGAAGCGTGATAGGGAAGATAAACCGGGAGGGGGAGGGGGGGTGTAGAAACATCTGAGGAGGAAGGATGTATATGAATAACTTGATAGAGAGCATTTTTAGGGAAAATAACCCTAAGGTATAAAGTTGCCTTTGTACATATAGCTTGTAAATACTTCACGCATTTGAGTTCCATATTAGCTTTTGTTGGACAAACAATGCTATATGTTCTGTATAAATAAATGTAACCATATTGTAGTTCCATGTCATATACTTTATCATTTATTGTTACTAACTTGCGGTCGAAATATATATATATTTGTGTGTATGTATGCGTGTGTACATGTTCATTTTTACATACATGTCTGTGTATATACATAAATATAACTATAGATCAGCAAATTTCCGGTATGTGTTGAGTATGAACTGGACACCACTGAAGTGCTGCGTCTGGTGTGAGCCTGGTTGGGGTGGTTCTGGACAAAAATAAATAATAATCCTTTACTTTTCTTTGTGACGTCAGGAGGAGATGGAAGAGAGGGAAATTATCTAATTATATATGTACATACATATATAAATGTATGTAAACATAATTCAGATATAGACTTGCCACGAGGGATACATAATCTTACGATGAAAAGAGGAACCAAGAGAAATTCCTTACTTTTATAAAAAAAATCACATGATTTGCAGGAAGATCAGAGAAAAAAATGGTATAAAGTATCTTCATTAAAAGATAACAAAATTTGAATGCTGGCTTTATAATCCTTACAATGAAAAGAGGAACCAGGAGAAATTCCTTACTTTTATAAAAAAACAAAAAACAAAAAAAAAAACACATGATTTGAAGGAAGATCATAGAAAAAATGGTATACAAGTATCTTTATTAAAAAATAACAAAAGTTGAATGCTGGCCTTATAATCCTAAAAAATATAACATTATCACACTGACATATTGTAAATGCAACTCTGATTCCATACCATTTGCAAAAGATTAAGGAAAATATTTATTTATTAGCTTAATCCATACACAAAAGCTCTTCTATTACAACTTTGGCTGGAACTATTTATCTTAAAACTTCACTCTTGTAGTTCTTCTCAATCATCCTTGGAGCAAGATAATGCGATTCTGCGAAACACACTCAAGTTCCTGGTTGTACCTCTTTAGGCGATCGTTCAACTCCGCCGACAACTGAAATTTGGGAAAGTTAATGGTTGAATCAAAATTACCAGCCACATCAACAACTAAAAGATGTTTTGGAAGGAATTAAAAAAAAAAAAAAAAAAATGTATAGAAAATCACTAATTCTTCAAATGATATCAAAAGTGCAAATACTAATTATCTATACTGAAATTCTTCAGATAAGTGAAAACATACATATACCAACACATGCATATAAAATGATTACCTTTGCAAAGTGTATGTCCTGCTGCACTTCTCTCAGTTCTAACAGCAGTTTATCAAGGGCTGTATATGGAAGCCACACTGGAGCAGCCCCTGCATGCAAAGCATTTGGCAAACCAACCTGTAAATTGACAAAAGATTGTATGGTAAAAACTCTATTAACTAATTTCCGCTTCACTGAAACTTTGTTAACCACAACATTCTTGGGTCAATATAAATAGTTAAATATTATCCAGAAAATGCTATTTAACCCATTTGCCCTATGTGGCAAGAATAGATGTCATGCCCACTGTAATACACGTTTATTTATTGTATTTACACATAGATGGCTCTACAAGTTCTTAATCACCAAATAGCCAGTTTATCGGAACTATCAATCTCACAGGTTTATCCTTTTCCTTCACTTTAGGAAAGTTTTTTTTTTTTGTATCATTTCATTGTCTAAAATATCTTAATGACAATTTAACCCAATGGTGCTGGGGAAAATGAACAAAAAATGGGGAAAATATTGTGCCCACTTTCTATGTTTTTCGTGAAATGTTTGCCGATAGATGGCTCTGCTAGTGCCTGATTTAAATGGCGGGAAAAACGTATTTTTCACTAGTGCTATGAAAATCGATGGTGTTATTGTTATCATAAACATTATAATTTTTATATTTTTTTTTTACATTAGTAACAGCAAAATAAGATTACGTAAAATATTTTGTAAATCAAAGAAACGGGTAAACGGGGGAGACGGGCGGTGCTCATAACTGGCTCATTGGGGAGTTAGTACAAGTGTTGCCATCTATGCGTAACAACAATCAAACAAGTACTCACGGTGGGCATAGCACGTACGTACACGTCATACCCGGCACCAAGGGGTTAATAATCATAACATCAATAACAATAATAACAGTATCGACAGCAATGGTATTAATTTTCCTGCCAATTCAATGAATGGGAAAATCAGGATCGGTAAGCACATGTGGCTAAGCACATCATGGAACCATCAGTATGTAACAAAATTCACCAAACACTACAGAGGACAGAACATAAATCCGGGGCAAATGGGTTAATAGTGCCTACTGCTGTAATGTGTTAAGAAACATTGGAAAGGTACTGCTAATGTGACTGAGAAAAAAGATGAGGCATAAAATGGTAACAGCAATGTGGGTGTGGAAGCAAAAGAAGCTATTGAAACTTATCATCTGTGCTGAGACATATATATATTTTTCTCTCTCCAAGTCATGTCTGTACCTATTTCAACCCATACAGATGAATAAAACATTGAATTTGGACAACTGATCAATGTTTGAGAAACTGAAAAACAACAACAGGCACAAGATGTTAACAGGTACTACCTCTTTCACGATATGTCTAATCACACTACTTCACACCCGGGGTATTATCTGACTCATGGCCAGGCACCTAAGGTGTCTCCCAGCTGTGGGGCTCTGGCTCATGAGGTCATTAGAAGTTACTGGTCATAAGTGAATTTATCACTAAGATGGGAGAGGACGTTACCTGGCATGAATAGTTTAAGGCATTCCCAAACATTTTAAGTCAACAGTTTACTGAAGTTTATGGTAAAAATATGAAAAGAAAAAAAAAAAAAAAAAATGTATAGAAAATCACTAATTCTTCAAATGATATCAAAAGTGCAAATACTAATTATCTATACTGAAATTCTTCAGATAAGTGAAAACATACATATACCAACACATGCATATAAAATGATTACCTTTGCAAAGTGTATGTCCTGCTGCACTTCTCTCAGTTCTAACAGCAGTTTATCAAGGGCTGTATATGGAAGCCACACTGGAGCAGCCCCTGCATGCAAAGCATTTGGCAAACCAACCTGTAAATTGACAAAAGATTGTATGGTAAAAACTCTATTAACTAATTTCCGCTTCACTGAAACTTTGTTAACCACAACATTCTTGGGTCAATATAAATAGTTAAATATTATCCAGAAAATGCTATTTAACCCATTTGCCCTATGTGGCATGAATAGATGTCATGCCCACTGTAATACACGTTTATTTATTGTATTTACACATAGATGGCTCTACAAGTTCTTAATCACCAAATAGCCAGTTTATCGGAACTATCAATCTCACAGGTTTATCCTTTTCCTTCACTTTAGGAAAGTTTTTTTTTTTTGTATCATTTCATTGTCTAAAATATCTTAATGACAATTTAACCCAATGGTGCTGGGGAAAATGAACAAAAAATGGGGAAAATATTGTGCCCACTTTCTATGTTTTTCGTGAAATGTTTGCCGATAGATGGCTCTGCTAGTGCCTGATTTAAATGGCGGGAAAAACGTATTTTTCACTAGTGCTATGAAAATCGATGGTGTTATTGTTATCATAAACATTATAATTTTTATATTTTTTTTTTACATTAGTAACAGCAAAATAAGATTACGTAAAATATTTTGTAAATCAAAGAAACGGGTAAACGGGGGAGACGGGCGGTGCTCATAACTGGCTCATTGGGGAGTTAGTACAAGTGTTGCCATCTATGCGTAACAACAATCAAACAAGTACTCACGGTGGGCATAGCACGTACGTACACGTCATACCCGGCACCAAGGGGTTAATAATCATAACATCAATAACAATAATAACAGTATCGACAGCAATGGTATTAATTTTCCTGCCAATTCAATGAATGGGAAAATCAGGATCGGTAAGCACATGTGGCTAAGCACATCATGGAACCATCAGTATGTAACAAAATTCACCAAACACTACAGAGGACAGAACATAAATCCGGGGCAAATGGGTTAATAGTGCCTACTGCTGTAATGTGTTAAGAAACATTGGAAAGGTACTGCTAATGTGACTGAGAAAAAAGATGAGGCATAAAATGGTAACAGCAATGTGGGTGTGGAAGCAAAAGAAGCTATTGAAACTTATCATCTGTGCTGAGACATATATATATTTTTCTCTCTCCAAGTCATGTCTGTACCTATTTCAACCCATACAGATGAATAAAACATTGAATTTGGACAACTGATCAATGTTTGAGAAACTGAAAAACAACAACAGGCACAAGATGTTAACAGGTACTACCTCTTTCACGATATGTCTAATCACACTACTTCACACCCGGGGTATTATCTGACTCATGGCCAGGCACCTAAGGTGTCTCCCAGCTGTGGGGCTCTGGCTCATGAGGTCATTAGAAGTTACTGGTCATAAGTGAATTTATCACTAAGATGGGAGAGGACGTTACCTGGCATGAATAGTTTAAGGCATTCCCAAACATTTTAAGTCAACAGTTTACTGTAGTTTACGGTAAAATATGAAAAGAAAGAAAGAAAGAAATATATATATATATATCTATACTTTGGTCAAACAAAATGTTAATCTTAAATGTTAAAGTATACTTATATTATATTTATCAATTTGTAATAACAGTGGTGCAGAAAACGAAAGATATAGAGAAGAAAGAAAAGAAAGAAAGAAAGAAAAAAAACATTAGTACAGAAATTAATGGTGAAAATGACTAATAATAACAATTGGCTTAAAGCATTTAAACACTTGATGCCGGGGGAGCATGCATAGATTCATCAACCACAGTAGTTTTAATAATTTTGTTTACATATAAATGGGCTTGGAAGTTTTTATTTTGACCACTATATTCATCGGCAATAAAGTTACAATAATAGCCAAATTCATAGTAACAATAATAGCAACTAAAATAACTTTTCTCAGGAAAATCCAGCAACGATGTACAAAGGTACAATCAAGTAGACCCGGTAATTTCCTAAGTGCTTGTGAAACCACCAGTGTAAACAAAACAAAAGAGAAGAAACAAGGATGGTGCATGAACCTGGAGCTGATAGGTTAGTTATCAATACTAATTTTCTTATGCGGATTTACCTGTTCTGTTCCATGACCTAAAACACCATCAATGTACTGGCAAGCAACTTTTACTGCTTCTTCTAAGAGGCCGTGGCCAACATACAACCGTAGAAGCTCGCCACAATTTCGAACCTGTGAAGTAAATAACATATATATATTTTTTTTCACTGTTTAGAGAATAAAGAAACAAGTGACAGAATTATCTTTTGGTAAGACAACCCCAATAAATTAAAGAAGCAGAAAGAAAAATAACATCTAAAATGTTTACTCTTGCTCTAAATACAGTAGCTAAAGTTCTTATTCACATAAAACACTTTGAATGGTCCAGACAGTCCAATAAATTTATTTACTACTATAAGAAGAAAAATAAAGATAATGATCAACGTTTATTTCCAAATACCTTTCAAATCAAGCAATTTAACCAAAATATGCAGAAATATACCATCATGCCTTCCTTTCACTGCAGGGAACTAGCAAGCATACCATGTAAGAGTTGACTAGCCAAGTGGGCAACGTTGTAGAGTGTTGGAGGAGCACAGATGTCACGGCATTATGAAGAACAGTTTGATTGGACTGTTCCTCTCCTTCCACCAATTCTCGGAGAAGGTTCCACCACATCTGGGATTCTTCACTTTCCCCTGAAGAGTAAAAAAAAAAAATAAAATAAAATAATAATAATAATAATAATATTGTGGTAATATTTGGCACCTCTAAACATCTGTAAAATTTCATAATTATGACAATGCATCAACAATACTACAACCCGAACACTCACTTAAAATTCCATTCTCATCTTGTGCCGTGGCTTTATTGAGAGTATTCTGAGGATGTATACAGGTGTGGGCTAACCCTTGAAGGATAGGAGCAATGGGTTGTTCAAAAAGTCTGGCAAGTCGAACTGCCTCGGTGAAAAGCCTGCCATGGGTTAGCAAACTAATGGTGTCTGCTGCACTAAGTGGGCCACCTGCAAACATTAGAATTTATTTAAGCTTATAGAAATCAATAAAATGACTTTACAATCACTAACAAAACTATCATTTTATACTTGATTCACTACTATTTCACAACTTACGAATACCTTGCCCTTTACTTACCTGAAGCTGAGGCATCAGGCTGTGTCTTAACAATCTTGAGCCTGGCATGCACTAACTCATACTCTCTCTCAATGTGCGGCAACTCTAAAACCTTGACTTGTGGGCGGCGGCGACTGAGTGGGGGGGCTACAGACTCTCCGTCACTGCTTCGCTTTGGACTGATAGAACCTGATGGATGAAAATAAAATTGCAACATGGAGTTAAGAAGAACTAATTATCAAGCCAACGAAACTTACAATAGGCTTTTTACTCCAAGTGGATAATAAACTGTATAAAACTGTGTGCTGAAAGTAAATTACACCTAAATTAGTTTAGTGATTTAAGCACTACTAATCACAAAAATTATAGTTAATTCCAGCATATTTGCAATCATTTTTAATTGCAATTTGAGTATGTTCCAAGGATGCTTAAATCAAATTAAATTGAGCTACTAATTCTGGCAGATCTTTTAATAATCTCAATAAATCATGCCAAACAAAATTTCTAATTGAGTCCTGCTTTTACTGTGCTGATGATACATTTATTTCCAAAACTGTCAACCCCAACAAACAAAGAGAAAGGAGGGAAGAGAGGGAAAGAAAGTAAGGGAATGAAGAAAAGAAGGAAGGGGAAGGGAGGGGAAGAAAGGGAAGGAAAGGAAGGATAGAAGGCAAAAGAAGGAAGGAAAGAGGGAAAGGAGGGGAAGGGAGTGGAAGAAAGGGAAGGAAAGAAAGGAAGAGAGTGGAAGAGAAGGAATGAATGAAAGAAAACAAGAAGGGGAGATAAGGGAGGAAGGAAAGAAAAAAGGGTAGGGAAGGATAGAAAGGAAAGGAAGGAAGGGGATGAAGAGGAGAATGGGAAGAAAGAGAAAGGGAAAGGAAGATGAAGAGGCAGGGACATAGAAAGAATGGGAAAGGAACAGCAAGAGGTTGGGAGTGAAGGATGAAGGAAGGGGAGGGAGAGGGAGAGATAGAGAGAGAGAAATTATAATAAAGGCAAGAGAATTACTTGACTTTCTGGTTGCCATTTCTTGATCCGCTTCGTCCTCTCCCGACTTTGGCAATGGTTTGATAATCCATGCTTGCTCAGATGGAATATGACGGAGGCAGTTGAGGCAAGCAAGATAACACTTCGCCTGCTGTTGGAGTCCCTTCTCTCCAACGCCCTCAATATTCAGGCGCAGAGCACATTCGTACATGACACTCGCAGCTGAAAAAAAAGAGTTGGAGGTTATTATGAAAAGAAAATTATTGATATCAAATTATATTTTGATAGCAATGTTTGCTGTTAAGTCAAATGCCAATGATCATGTCAATAATCATTGGATTTTTTTTTTTTTACAATATGTTATCTCACAAATGCTTACTCATGACATCAAACAAAAGAAAGTATAGTAAGAGGTTCATTAAATTTTACTCTAAAACAAATAGGTAAAATGCAAACAATAACCTTTAAGAGAATTTACTGATATATATCTATTCAACAAGAAAATTTACCTTTCTTGTAATTGTGCTTAGAGATGTGGAAGGCGTACAGGAGATCATAATAATTGTTAACAAGTATGTCAGCTGATCGAGCACGACTCTCCAGGATGTTAATTACATCTGCCTCAAGACTGCCATACTGGTAGTTGACTAAGGTGGTTAGGCATCTGTTAAGTTAAAATGGAACCTTATCAATATTATTTCTATTATCAATGTGTGGTTTATCCAACTTGTTAAAACTGTCAGAGAGGAAAAATCTCATTATTTGGGAAACAATATGAAAGTCAAAATGAAAGGACTATTTCAAAGCAAATGTAATCTCCATACATACTTGCGTTCGTGAAGTGAAACAATGAGCTGACGCAGACAGTTTCTTCTGCGATGCTGATCAGGGCAGGCTAACAGGGCTGTAAATGCTTCATCATGGTGCTGTAACTCTAGGTGATGCTTAAAAATGACAGAATAAAGTGCAGACATAGATTGATGGTCACAGGAAGCCATAGCAACACCTTCTTGGGCGACCTGTAGAGCAAGCGCAGGCTGTCCACTCTGCTCCAGCAAACGAATCACACGCAAGCAGTACATGACGCGTAGCTGGTCTGCAGGGGTATCGACTGCACCGCCTGCTACTTTCACACCTAAGTAATCTTCTGTTACAACCCCTTCCAAGGCTGCCACAAGCAACTGTGCAGCTTTCGTAGCCTCTCCTTGGTTTAATAGTGCAACACCCAACAAAAACTTTCTTGAACAGCTGTTCCATTCACACCACGGCTGGAGAAGCCTGACATACTCTTGAACAGCTCCATGTTGCCCGCCCCATACCAGCCATTCGACCAACATGAGGCAACGACTTATGGGCCATGCCAGCTGAGCTAATGTCGTTGACAATGGCATCAAGAGCTGTGCCCAACCACCATCAACATTACTGCTGGCGTCTTCTGAAGCCCCTCCAACAGAAGGAGCTATGAGGGAACGTGCCTGGTCCCCTCCACTGCCAAGGAAGTACAGTTCAAGGACAGTGGCTGGACGGCCAGGATTTGGTGGCATTTGGAGCCCACTGGGACCATCATTTAGGGACAGGGCCGCTAACTGTCGCTTGGCTACTTCTACTGTCCCTTGGCTGGGATGAATGGCTGCTGTGGTTGACACGTGCAATAATGCAAAGTATGCCTGAGTGAGAAGTGTAGTCTTTGGGAGCAATGTTGACCGTAACTGAGCTGAGGCTTCTGGCGTCAGACGGCACTGGTGGCCTAGTTGAAGTGCCACCTGTTGGAGCAGCAGCAAGTCCCTGCAAAGTTCTAGCCTTCCTTTTGCAATCTGAGCCACAACAGCACTAACTATAGCAGCTCCTGCATGTCCACAAAGAACACCAGACAGTGTCTCTGGCACACACATGCTTCCATTTTCTAGTGTCAGGGCATCAGGCATTCCCATGTCTAACTGAAGAGCATGCAAATATGCCCATAATCCTGGTACTAAACCAGAAACACTTGCTAGTTGTTGAGCCAAGCTGGTGGCCAGGGTAGCATTATCTGCAAGAAGTGAAGTAGTAATGGAATTGCCAACTTGGTCTGGAGGCTGAAGATGATACAAATCCAGAGTAAATGCAGCTGCTACCTCTGAGGGCACCATCTGTCTTACCAGGTGCAGAGGCTTTGCTAGAGCCACAACAGCAGTGCTCACCACAGTGTCTTCACTCAGCACTCCATCCAGACTTGCCACATTCAAACTCTCCACAGGGGCCAAAGCAACCACCTCCAGGGCATCCATTGGCCGTACCCATGACACGACCTGCTTTCTGACAATACCCACCAGATGGTCTGCACCTACACCAATCACTCCAACTGGCTTGTGGCCAACCTGCAAAACAATAATTACTCTAGACAAACAGCATCGCATAGAATCAAGTGCAACAGAAATCATAACTAAAAACAACTATTCCAGTGATAGCTTTAATAACCATTAACAAAATCCTTCACAAACTGACCTGATGGTACTGGAGTGTATGAGAGTAGAATGTTGCCCAAGCCTCTATGGTGATCTGTGTCACCTCCTCTTCAGTAAGGTCAGATGTCAACCTTGCTTCCACTTGGTCCCTAAGGGCAGCCTCCACTTCCTCTTGCAGTTTCCACATTCCACGATCTATCAACGTTGACATATCCATGTTTCTTCGGTATATCTGGAATGCATTAATTATTACTCAAGTCATCTGAATTCAATTACGTCCTTGAAACCTGCCCAAAAGTTTTCATACTAATTTTTGCTCTCTCTGGCTATGATAATAAAATGTATAAAGACACCCTTACCCCAAGTGCTTTCCGCAAGGTATGCGCAGAAAACCTATTAGGCATGAACAATTCTCTCAGATAGATTTCCCTTGGGTCCAGGAAGGGATCGGTGAGGGGCACGTCTTTCTCTGGCGGCTGCTCCAACACCACTGATGAGAGCCCCGGGGGGTTTTTGCATCCCTCTCCACTGTTCACTGGGGCATAAAGCAACTGTAAAGAGATTTCTCTATTAGTTATTGAGGACTTGCCAGACTCTGCACAGTATGTATTGAGCTATTTTGGTGGGGTACAGAGTAACTGTTAATATATAACTATTGTCTAGTACTCTCTGAAAAAATACAATGCATCAGGCTTTTTTACAGTAATGTTTTCTACCTTTTTTTTTTTTTTTTTTTTTTTTTTACCTGTGTCTCATTATTTGCATCAGTCCACAGTGTCCATATGTAGGCTGATGTTACACTGAAGTCAACTAGATCATACTGAAATTGAGAAGAAACAAAGAATTAGTATGAACAGAAAAGAAACTAAGTAAAATATATAACCTTAAACAAATACAGAATATTTAAGGTAATTTATGTTACAAGTCAACAAGCCAAACATTTCAATATATAAAAGTTCAAGACATAACAAAATTAGCAATTTCATACACACTTCCACGACACAACACAAAACTGATTTACCTGAGGAGGATAAAGTGTTTTAATGTGACTTAGGCTAATCTGGCCTAAATTTAGGGTTGGCTGATACACCACAAGGAGCTGTTTCTCCGTGAAGTTCAAGAATACGCCAAAGATGCTCTCCTCCCCTTGGCCGTAACTTCTTATTTGGTGGCGCTGAGCTGAGATAGAACAACCATTTCATTGTTAAGACTATTCAAATGCATGAAATGCTTGATGTGGCAAAGAGAAAATTCAAGGATATAATAACCATAATGATGATGATAAAAATAAAAATATGATGTAGATTATATCATGCATACTTAATCTTTAGTGAAAGAAAATGCAAAATTATATAACAATGCACAAAATAAATATACTAACCTCCAGGATTCAACTTGCGGCCTGCTTCTGCAGTATTTTCAAGAGTATCATGTGCAAGAATACACTGCAGCTTGGAGCAAGACCAGGCACGTACTTTCCCATCACGACAGATTCCTATTGCTACCACATCACCAGCTATCTCCTGAACCACTAGGCTGGTCACCGTTTCACAGCCTTCCAAGCCCCTGAGGAGAGAATGAAATGGTTATCAAGTGTAGTTAGTGTAGTATCCTGGAAGTATATTCAAATATTTGTTTTCAAGACCATTCTTCTGCAACTCATTTTTAAAACAATAAGATTCCTTAAAAGTAACAAAAGGCCATGCCATACCTAACATACAAAAAGAAAAAGATGTAAAAAAAAAAATAAACGAACAGACAAACCTGAACATCCCTGGCACAAAACCAGTGAAAAGCCTGTTCATGAGCGAGGCATTCTTGATGGTCTCCGTAAACACAGAGTATGGCAAGTCATACATCTTGACAACAAGCAGAGTTCCGCCGGTCTGTCCCAGCACAAATACCGCATCCCCCCCCTCACCTGCCAGGAGGTGAGTGCCTGCTGTGTGGGGAAGACCCTCGCCTGCACCTGTAATAAAATAGGAACCTTTTATAATACATATTTCTCAAACATTTCATTTTTGGTCATATAGCCTAGTACTCATTACAACAAAACATTCAATTTCTTAACTCTGCAAAAAGAAGAATACTTGTGTAGTGCTTTTTGTTTTTGTTTGTTGTTTGTTTGTATATATTTGTTTGTGTGTTTGTGTGTGTGTTAGTTATGGGTGGTGTGGTGTGTGTCCCTTAAATCTGACTTTGAAACATATCTGTAAACAACTACTTCTTTTGATCCTGACTCACCTACTGCACTGCTGTTTAGGATGTGTAAATTGTGGTATTCCTTCAGAGTCTGGAATGTCAGCTCACTGAGGATAGAATATGGCTTGCTCTTCGTGGCCTGCAATACAAAAGCCTTCCGTTACTGGATAAAGAAGTGGAAGAAGAATGAGAGAAAATTGACGAGGGATGGGAGAGAAGAAAAGAAATTATGGCAATCTTAGTTTGATAAAACATATCACATGAATGTACGTCAAAATCACGAGGAAACACTTTTGGGGTCACAAAATTATGAATAGGGAAATAATCAACACCTATACCAGCAAAAACACAAATCACAAAATTCATATTTCCATTTCAAATGAGAGGGAGAGAAAAAAGAAAAGAAAAAGAGAGAAGAGAACCAATACATAAACAAGTCTAAAAGGATAAAACAATAACAACAACAAATCAAATCTTGCCTGTGTTGACGTAGGATGCGGCAAACGAATGCGGTGGACTGAGGACACCGTTGCCAAAAGGATGTAAACATACTGGCGAGTTTCGTGTACGCTCAAACCCTCGAGCACAGGAGTGTCGGCAAATCTGTGAAGAAAAGTTACATATAAATTTCTATCTCCATTACAGACATCCTTGTAATGGAAAGAATGTAACTATGGATATATATAATATTGTTATTGAAGTCTCTTTTATTATCTTTTATTTTTGAAATCTATTACATACACTTTTTATTATGATCATTATTATTATTACCATTGTAATCATCATTCTTCTTATAATTAAGTTATGATTATAATATATATACACAAATTTCTTTTTATTAATTAATAATAATTATTATTCATTTATTCTATTATAAAACATATATATATATTATATATACACATTTTTTGAGGGAGGGGGGGGGTCCTTCTTAGTTTCAATAGGTAATGTTACCAGTATATCTTCATCTCATAAAAATTACTTATATTTTTTGTTTTCATTTGTAAATGAACTGAGGAAAGAAATATGGTTTTCATAATGACTTAAGAATTATCCAAGACATACTTCCCAATCTATATTCAGTCCTTAATTATGTGTAATGCTCAGTGACTTATATAATGAATAGTAAATCAGAGGAATTGAAATGAACATTCAAATGAGGACTGGCTGAGAACTCTAGATCAGCAATATGACTTTACAATATAATGACTACTACCTGCTCCCATATTGAGTGTATTGGTGACTAATGTCCATGTAGGCTAAACATACTATACAGTCATGCAGCAACACCTGGTAATTACAGACTTTTACAAAGTGGCATGATATGCTACACAGAGAACTAGTTTTAGAAGTAGTAGTAAGAAGTACGAAAAAAAGTAATAATAATAAAAAAGAAGAAAACATAATCCAAAAAGGAAACAAATGCATCCGAACATAATATCTAATCTTACTCTACTAAAACAACTCTTTACCAAGTCAACAAGCATACTAAATATTAAAAAAAAAAAAAAAATTAAATAAAAATAAAAATAAATAAAATAAATATATAAAATAAAATAAAATAAAATAAAAAATAAATAAATTACCTGAGTTGAACATGGTTGTGAACAAAGTCATGGTCTAGACTTTCCTCCCATAGCTCCACTACGTCGTGACACACTCGCCTGAAATGAAGATTTAGCTTAGTACTGTATGCGCATCCCCATTTTTCTGCATAATATATACACTTCAGATGGAAATAACTGCAATAACACATAATGCAAAAAAAACTTTAAGGTTTATATACTTTTTTTCCCCCCAGGAGAAAGATAGGTTGGTTGATGGATGGGAGAGGAGGAGGAAGAGGAAGAGGAGGAGGAGGAGGAGAAGAGAAATAAATCATACTTATCACTCACCAATAAATGTATCTGTTGCGTGTGGCTGGGGAGAGAGATTTGTATGCATAACCCCCTCCATATTCAGGTACTTTGATATCCTGAAGGGTGCTCTGTGCTGCTCCTGTGTGGACAGAAAATGTGTCAATACGAGGTCAAGTTATTTGAGGAGGAGAGAGGTGGGAGGAGGGAGGAGAGAGGTAGGAGAATGAGATTTTTTATGAAAAGAGGTCATGGAATCTCTTGATCTGGTACCTGTTTTCAACTAAATAAATTTAGAAAGGTGTTATCAGGTAATTCACTTGAATTATTATTTTTTGCTACCACTATTTAGTCTAATATGTGTGAATCTGTTGTATTCCATCTCAAATGACTGGCTCAGGAAGTAAGTGAAATAATGGTAATTGTTTATATGGTTTTACAGTATTCTTACAATAAGGACACACTTGCCAGAGACTTAGTCCCCAACTCCACATCACAATCATTCAAAATTGAATTGAGGGAAAATTACACACTGATAAGGAAATAATCAGCAGAAGCAGAGAATAATGACAGAAATGAAGAAAATGGTGTTAGGTGTGCCTAATAAACATTGTCTTCAGCTACATGGCAAGAAAGAGCTGGAACTCAGGAGTGCCAAGCGGACTTAGGCTGCTTTCACACCAAGGTGGCACAATGTGCGCCATTTGAAAATGAAAGTCCAGAAATATATGAAACCTTTCATACAGCAATTTATTTTGTTGAATAAAATTTGTGATGTGGGGTTGGGGAGTTAGTCTCTGGCAAGTGCTTTCATACTGTAAAGAATTACCAGTAAAGTTTGTTTCACACTACTAGGTTATATGGTACAAGGTAAACTTTGCCTATAATGGATAGAACAACAGAACAAGATATTTTTCATGTCTGGCATTTCTCTTTTGCAAGTGGATCATAAGAAAATTGTGCAACATGTAATATTTTGGTACACATTTACAGGAAAATGTAATGACATTATCATAAAGAAAGGAAAAAGCAACATTCACTCACTCAAAATAACCTCAACAGGCAAAGAACAACATCTGAAATGGAGAAAAAAAGTTGCAACTAATGCTGCGAGGCAAATAAGTCCACTGCAATTGGGTTAAGGTCGAGGGGAAGAGCTCCCGATTGGGAATTATGGTGACTGGATGTGGGTCTGGGAATGTAGCCCCCACGTTAGGAAGGTTCTTGGTGCATATACGGTAAGGTTTGTGGACTCCCTGGAATGGCTGGAGTAATAACAACTTAGTCTCAGAGTGGTACATTTACTTCATAAACAGCTACCAAGACTTGCATGTAAATAATTTGTGACTGAAAACTGCAAGATTCAAGCATATTACAATGTGAATATTTGAAACAAGGAATAATAATTGCAACGTCTGTGTCAAACTCAGAAATTAGTGACCAAATCCTTCCTAACCTCACCCACTCTGCCCTCGAGCCGCACCTGATCGCTGTGGACTTTGTCCCAGTGTGGCTTTTGTTGCAACCCATTTTCTTCATTTCTGTCATTATTCTTTGCTTCTGCTGATTATTTCCTTATCACTGTATAATTTTCCATCTCTTTATGACACTCACTATGTAAATAGTCAGTAGGGAATATATACCACGGTGTTAGGTTAGGTTGGATGTTGGGTTAGGACATTTGGTCAATATGTAGTATAAGGTTGTGGCAGAGTTGAGTAATAAAACCTACATGAAACAATAGAACAGCACAAAACAAGACAAAGTTCTTCTATGGCAATATGTGTGCAAATGCTTCCCAAGGGTACTATACATAAAAGAAAGAAGAAGAGAAGATGGGTTACTTTTGAAACAATTTTGATATTTTCTGTATGAATTCACTGAAACCTACATGAAACAATAGAACAGCACAAACCAAGACAAAGTTCTTCTATGGCAATATGTGTGCAAATGCTTCCCAAGGGTACTATACATAAAAGAAAGAAGAAGAGAAGATGGGTTACTTTCGAAACAATTTTGATATTTTCTGCAAATGAATCGTTGAGGAGATATGATCACCATCTCCATCGATAATATTGATTTGATAGTTCCTATAGCAGGGGAGGGCATGAAATATATCAGGGAAATCATGGGGTAAAACAGGACCCCCGTGGTTGTTAAACAAAACATCCGGTCAATATGTAGTATAAGGTAGTGGCAGAGTTGGTTAATAAAACCTACATGAAATGATAGAACTGCACAAACCAAGACAAATTTCTTCTATGGCAATGAGTGTGCAAATGCTTCCCAAGGGTGCTAGGTATATATATTACCCCTGGGGTCTAGGGGGCTGTGCCTCCTGGCTAGGGAATATATACCACGGTGTTAGTTTAGGTTGAATGTTGGGTTAGGTCGCCCATTTGCACAAGGAACAATGCCTAGAATCATCGAAAGCAGTGGATTTCATGCAGAAAAATATCAAAATTGTTTCGAAAGTAACCCATCTTCTTCCCTTTTCTTTTACGTATAGTACCCTTGGGAAGCATTTGCACACATATTGCCATAGAAGAAATTTGTCTTGGTTTGTGCTGTTCTATCATTTCATGCAGGTTTTATTACCCAACTCTGCCACTACCTTATACTACATACTGATCCAGAGGGCTAAGCCCAACCCCCACCCTAGACAACATGGAATCTACCACATATGTACAGCAGGATGGAGTATAGGACAGACAGACTCACATGTTGGTTGTATGCTCTACCCTGCTGTGAAAAAAGGGAGGATTCAGGGTGCACATCCCCATGCATTAGACAATATA